ATAGGATAATATCCATATGTCTTCAGGGAAGACCAGTAAATACAACTATTATTTGAATTTACGCACCATCCACTAAAGCCTGTGATGGTGAAATTGAAGCAGTCTACCAACTTCTCCAGTCTGAAATTGATCAAACATGCAAAATATCAAGATGTATTTGATCATTACTGATGATTGGAGTGCTAAGACTGGAAACAAAGAGGAAGGATCAGTAGTTGGAAAATATGGCCTCAGTGATAGAAATGATACTAGAAACTGCATAATAGAATTTTGTAAGACCAATGACGTCTTCATTGCAAATACCTTTTTTAAAAGAACATAAAAGATGACTATATACGTGGACCTCATGAGATGGAATACACAGAAATCAAATTGATTACATCTATGGAAAGAGATGGTGGAAAAGCTCCATATCATCAGTCCAAACAAGGCCAGAGGCAGACTGTGGAACAGACCATCAATTGCTCATATAAAAATTCAGGCTGAAGCTGAAGAATATGAAAACAAGTACATGAGAGCCAAAATAGGACCTTGAAAAGATCCCACCTGAATTTACAGATCATCTCAAGAACAGATTTGATTCATTAGACACTAATGACTGAAAACTAGAAGGACTGTGGGATGACATCAAGCACATGATGCAGGAAGAAAGCAAAAGGTCATTAAAAAGACAAACTAGAAGGAAAAGATCATAATGGATGTCAGAAGAAACCCTGAAACTTTGCTCTCAGCTTAAGCAAATTGAAGAAATGAGGAAGTAAAAGAGATGAATAGAAAATTTCAGCGGTTAGCTCGAGAAGACCAAATCAAATATTATAATGAAATATGCATAGACCTGGAGTTAGAAAACCAAAAGCGAAGAACATGCTCAGCATTTCTCAAGCTGGGGGATCTGAAGAAAAATTTCAAGCCTTGACTTGAAATATTGAAGGATTCTTTAATCAAATTACTGAATGATACAGAAAGCATCAAAAGAAGATGGAAGGAATACACAGAATCACTGTACCAAAAAGAAATAGTTGATATTCAACCATTTCAAGAGATCGCATATGATCAAGAGCCAATGATCCTGAAGGAAAAATTCCAAGGTGCACTGAAGGCATTGACAAAGGCAAAGGACAAGTTTCCAGGAACTGATGGAATACAAATTGAAATCTTTTCAACAAACTGATGCAGCACTAGGGGGGCTCACTCATCTATGCCAAGAAATTTGGAAGACATCTACCTG